CGAGATTACTCAGAAAATAGATATTCAATATTTAACGCGAAGAAATACCTAACGATAGAGAAGGCGCGACTAATGAATTGAATAGACTAGAGTTGATCGAACGGCATGGCTCGGCCATGCAGGCGTGGTCTCTGCTGAATGTTACCTTATATCTTCTTTTCATATTAAATATATTGTTCTTTCTCTAGCCTGACCTTGTTCTACATCATGTATTGGTAATTGATGCGGTACAGTGAGTTGGTGTAGTTGATGGTGTGACTTCCACGTAAGATCTTATAGATTAGGCAGTCATATCATGACAAATCCACAGATTTAGGATTAGGTTTATTATTAGAGCAGTACTAATATCATAGTAGACCATAAGTTCTACATTGGTGAGCCCAACTAAAGAAACGCAACCTATTATTGTTAATCCTTATTTCCACCTTAACCTTCTCAATCGGTTTTTATTTTTGTAAACCCAGTATTCTAATAGTCCTTTGATTAATGGTCACATATATTATCGTAATGTTATATCTATTAGTTCACATAACTTACTAGCACAATCGGTAATAAAAGTTGATCATCTATATCAACTAATTAGCTTTGATGGTTCGTTAACGAGCTTTAATAGCATTTACCTGCTTCAGCGACATAAACTTGTTTAAATATCAAGCTCTAGCAAATATGACCTGTAAATAGCGTAAATATACATTGGCTAACAATGCAATCAAGGATTGAATAGTTATCTGGATCTAATTCTTAGTGTTTCTTCGCTTAACACCTCATCCTGTTTTAAACTATGCACTATCCTTTTCTTCCGACCACTGCCTGCCTAATTTCATATTCTCGAGTTCCATTGCCAAACAACAAGGATGACACTTCTCTAAAAACATACAATGGCTCGTTCAATGGCTGACACAATTATCTGGATTCATTCGATTGTTTTGATCTGAGCGAGTGGCAACAGCATCAAGCACCCTGGAATTAATTGCCATACTGCATGTTTTATTGTGGATACTTTTGGATCATTACTCCTCACGAATGGCGTTATATATGTCGTCCACTGAATAATCTAATTTTTAAAAATAATCCAGGCGAGTTCAACTATTTTACTGGATGATTTTTCTGTACTTAACATGTATATATTTTCCAGTTGTGCTTGCCACATATTTATAATTATCTTTAGGCTAAATGCAGTAACTTCTTATAGAATGTTTATAACGCATCATATTCCTGCCTGAAGTTTCACAAGCAGTCTAAACTTTAAAATTACTTGTCTGGTCATGTTCATTATTTTTAAATCGTCATATACGTCAACAACCTGCATGTTAACCTGGTTCATACATACGTTACACTATATCTCCATGTCTTCTAAATTTAGAAATCATTTGGATCGCCTCTAACATTTATTAATAAACCCATCATAGTCGTTGTTGCTAATCGTATTTGGATTTATGGATTGGTTTATCATATTAGCAGTCTAAAATGCAAACATAATTTAGATAATAAGATTAAAAATTTAGGTACTATCAACTACACTAGTAAAATTACTAAATCCTCAGGTAGTTGTTGGTTGAACAAACTTTTAAAATCAAAACTCCGTAGCCTACTAGAATTAACATTAAACAAATATTTCTGAATTGAAATTTATAATTAAATTAGGCGTCTCGGATTCTTTAACGTTATAAATTTCTGATAATTTTGAAACACCCAAAACAACAATGCCTATTTTTCCACTGGCCAATCTTCAATCAACACTATAACTAATTAAACATAATAGTTTCAGGATATCTTCATAAAGCATTGTCATGACTTGACAATCACGTAATATGATTGATAAAATTAATGAAACTATTAACAAAATCGGTCAGCAAATTGACTTATAATTATCACTAGTGTTGTTTTTCTTCATTCACTACAGATGATTACAGTATGTTTCTCTATCAGTTGCTCATTCAGTAAATATCTCAAAACTTTGTCAGTCTAATTGATGGTTTAGCGACACAATCATGCATGCAAATAATCAGTATAAGCAGTCGAGCAAATCTCCTGCAAACTGAAAACATTAATGTCGAATTTACCCCAACACTGACTAAGGTTCAAGCTATTATCATAGGCATGAGTTGGGAGTGCACTCCCCTTGGTTACAACTTATGTTCTCCCTGATAATCACATGAGCATCACTCACTATTAATCATCTTGTAAAAAATTATTTAGCCAAATACACCTTGCAGCACCACATCACCTAGTAATAGACACATAGGTTTAACTAATTTCAATAACGTATAACCACTATATCTCAATTAAATCGTGTTCCGCCTTATGATAAACTGCATACTTTCAACTAACTTGTATACCCAATCAGCCGGCAAGTATAGATATAAATAAATAGTCTGCCGCAGATCAGAACATTGAGTCTAGAGCATGTCTCTTACGAATACACTCATGTTTAACGATTTGTTTCTAGCTATCTGTCCAAAATTCACATAATTATCACTCACGTATTTAAATTTTGTTTTGATAACCATTCATGTGTATTAGTAGTATTACTAAATTCTATCACGGTCAGATAAACATGGGGTTGAGAAAATCTCCCCGTAACTAAATAAACCGTATCAAACTAACTGGAACACTAGTTGGAATTCTTCTCCACGGTAATACTTTTGTTCCTTCAGTTAGCCTACTAATACAGATGCAATTGGAAATCGACTCATATGGACAACTTACCGGCATAATCGTTATTTGATTTCATAAGTTAGACTAAAAGTAGTACTAATATTAACATTTCTACAATATTCATAACGTTAATATTTCTAAACACAAAATACTTACTACCTATACGTTAAGTTATCAACCAACGGCTATTACACACACATCGTTTTATTATTACTATTATTATTATTATTGTAATCCCATTTTTTATAGCTCAAATAATCACTCAAATTTTCATTGTAAGCGTGTAAGCATGAAGGCAGATATTTTAAAATTATTACATGTATTTCCCGACCAGATGCTGCCGTTTTCTTTTTGATTTATCTTTCAGCTTGTCATCACCCGGAGGATTATTACAAGTCTTGGTAACCTTCAGGACACTACAGTCCCATCCAATTTGGTATCGAACCAACACCACGTTGATTCTGGTGGGAGAGTAGTGTAGTGGCATTGGACCATAACCACACAATCCTCAAAGCTGAATACGAGATTACTCAGAAAATAGATATTCAATATTTAACGCGAAGAAATACCTAACGATAGAGAAGGCGCGACTAATGAATTGAATAGACTAGAGTTGATCGAACGGCATGGCTCGGCCATGCAGGCGTGGTCTCTGCTGAATGTTACCTTATATCTTCTTTTCATATTAAATATATTGTTCTTTCTCTAGCCTAACCTTGTTCTACATCATGTATTGGTAATTGATGCGGTACAGTGAGTTGGTGTAGTTGATGGTGTGACTTCCACGTAAGATCTTATAGATTAGGCAGTCATATCATGACAAATCCACAGATTTAGGATTAGGTTTATTATTAGAGCAGTACTAATATCATAGTAGACCATAAGTTCTACACGTTCTATGGTACCAACAAATGTTGTGTCTGGTAGTGCCTGGACTAAGACGTCTACGGCTTCTGGATGTTCCTCTTTTGTTGGCTCGTAGATCTGACTCCACTTACTTACTGTGGGTAGTATTCAATAATTGGGGCTGGACTATCTGTTTAGTGAGGGCATCAACTGTTCGTCGTAACTCGGCGATCTTGTTAGTTGGGCTTGATTGTATGTGAGATACAGAGTGAGTCTTAGACCGCTCGTAAATTCTGGCGGTTATATCTGCTAGCCTACCAAAATCGACATCTTCGTCACCAATTGCAAGTATCTGTTGGATGTTTTGTGGAAGACGTCTGAGTCACAATTGATATAATAGACGTTTGTCTACTGTACGATTTGCTAATAAATTTCTCATGTGGCGTTTTAATTCTACATGCTGTTACCTAGCTCCACATTAGCTAAAAGTTGATTGATTGTCTGCTGGTCAGTGAGAGATGTAACACGAATAACCTCTCTTTTTAGACAATCGTATGGTGAGTCGAGATCCGGCTTAAAAATGATGCCAGGCACCTGTTTAGTAACGTCGTCCGGTAGCAATGAGTTTGCGTAACTAAATTTCGTGCTCTAATTCGTGATTCTGTTTGCCACAAAAAGCTCTCTATGCGTGCAAACCAGAGTTCCGCTTTTCGCGGATTAAAGACAAGTAAAGGTACAGAGGTGACACCCACGGACATAGATTTAGATGAAAGGCTTGGCGAATTATCAAGTGCTATGATACGAAGAAGCAATAGTAATAATAAACTGAGGGTTGTAATATACAATATAAAGAAATGAAAAATAACAAAAAGAAATATATAAGACTCATCGAAAAGAAAAAACTGTTACTTCGGTTTTAAATATGCGAATATACAGCAAAAATTTTAAAGCAACAATGCAACAACATCTCTCCCAAATCTCACCGTTTCAATCGAGCTTGTGTCCAGTGGATTTCATTTATTCCGAGCATCTTCATGTTGTTTTCTCTTATTGCTGTAATTATTTGACTTGTCCTCCCAGTCTTCCACATTGTGTGGACATTCAATGAACGCATGGAATTGTTAGAACGGATATTTGTCTTCTGACTTCCGAAGAATATCAGCTCTCACTATGAGGTTTCATGATTCTTCTGAATGAAGATCCTTGAACATGGAAGGTAGTGTATAAAGTGTTTATTTTTCATTTCAGTCAGCGTTTTTTAGTAAGGATTTTTCTATGGGTTGTTGTTGCTGACCACTTTTACAACTCTTCTTTACCCGTGGTTGGGACCGTCGGTAACCCAAGGACTGCTTGTAGAGTTTTACTTTTAGATAAAAAAAGTCGCCTACATCATGAAGGAAACGCAACTATATGTTGCAAGTTTAATAGAGTAATGGTGGGATAAGATCTGTTGGTAAGGAATATGACTTTAGGAGTTGTTTCAATATATCACTGTTATTGGCGATATAATCATTTTGTTCTTACTGGCCTTGACGTTTGTTGTTAGGTATTCAAGTTGCCCAGAGGTATTTAAAAGTTAGCGTAGGATTGTGCAACAGCCGTGAGAGAAATAAGTAGTTGAGCCTACGTTTTTATATTGGTAAGCACAATTAGTTTCTATTTGCTTCTGCTCTGGCCAAGGTTAAAACATTTAACGTTTGAATGTCAAGTACTACAGCAATACTTTAAAATAATCAAATAAGTTGTCTTAAATAATTATGAGGTCAAAACAAAATATACAACTCTCGACTACTTAATATCACTATTCACCAATTTTTGGTCTCTCGCATCGTTATTACAAGCTAGTTATTGGTCGGTTTATGTTATTTTACATTAGTATGTCATTTCGATCTGTGCATGTTGTTTTCTATCTGGTTATATGTTTCATAAGTAGGTAGTTAAACTGAATACGGCTAGAGATTGCTTTTATTTAAAACATGTCAATTTAGTCAGCTTTTGGAATTACTCAGTAATGAATGTGTGAAAATTATTACATGGGTGCATATCTTCATTGTTATGGTATTTCTGTAAGTTATTTTAATCAACTCTACATGGTGACAAATTCAATGTCTTCCACAATTACTCGTTCATTCTTCAAACCACATCAAAATTATGTCATCAATTTGTTGCGCTTCAACTACCGGTGATAACTAAGCCCGATATGATTAATGCGATTAGTCTTAGTTCAGAAGTACGTTAAACCCCATAAGATTAGGCTTAATGATAGGTAGTTGGAGACTGCCTAACATTGCCTAAACTCGTTGCATGCATTTACTCTTTATCTTTTATCGATTTTGAGTCTCAGTATCCTGTCATACGTTTCTAATCTATCCTTTTAAGCTATACTCTCAAGACTAATTCTTGGTTTTTATTATTGCCACTAAGTTTCTAGCTCGTGTTATCTTCATCTCGCGTTAATGTGATATAATAACCTGAGTCAACTCACATTTGTCCCAGTGTCTACTTTCAATATAGCTGACTGTACAACTTGACAGTTCTTTTTAAACTTTTAACTTTAGTAGAGATCGGGCTTTTGTGTTTTCTGGGGTATACCAGTTTCAAATTGGATAGAAACTTGTATTAATGAATGCAAAAATTTTCATTTAATTTCTCATCCCACTGATGTTCTCGATTGTTTTATGCGTTTTAAGATATTTCCTTTTTTTTCAGATCCTTTCTCACAGCTATTTGTAGCATATATTATTCTATTTGGGTACCATTCCCAATTTGGATTTTAACCGTTGCTACTGATACATTTCTGGTTATAAAATGAGTGACGACGATCAAGTTGTACGACAAAGAGCAGTAAGTTCCATCTAGATATGAATATTAGCGACATATTTACCACTTCGTAATCATATAAACTTACTGTACGATGATTTTTGCCCATAAACTTTACTAGACTTTATTATTGTCTGTGAAATAGTGCGGGGGGTCAAAACTAATGTTCATTACTATTTATGTTATGCATTAAAGTTAATCTAGGTAACTTTATGCTAAGTACGTGTTTAGGTCAGACATTTCCTGATATACTTTGAGTTTGGAGGCTATTCTCTTTGGTCTCTGTAACATTAAGGAGTTTAGTGTATAGGGTTGTTAAATTACTTTATTGAATATGGGTTTCTTATTACCCAAACCCATGATGCACATGGGCTCCAGGTTCCTGAGGGGACGAATGGCGTATGAACCTATTATTAGTCACGGGCTACCACCGGACTTTATCCTTACGTTGCTCCACTGTCTTGTGAATTAGACCATCAGGTCAAAGACTCCGGGTGTGGAATCCCAGGAAAACCACCTGTTTCGGTCTGAGCACCCGGGGAGTATCACAGCCCTCACAAAAATCAGTGATAATTGCTACTGGCCTCATTTTTATTGTGTGGTGCATATCCATTTGGTGCTCCCTTGTACCAATGTTTATGTGTGCAAAAAAATAAGCAAATAAATAAGGCATTCTTGTTCCATATTTTCTAGATCAATCATAATGAAACATTGTCCCTATTTTATATGATCATGATTGTACATAAAATCCTATACCTGTCTTCAAATTAGTATAGATTGTACTAAGTGTCAAAAAATGATTTAGTTTTAATCATTACATTTTCTTCCATTAGAAATACAGGATACTTTCCATTTTGTCGCTCCAAAGTACTCCTTAGACTAATATAAATTTGTTTCTGATACTTAAAGGCACTTGTGGTCACGGTTAAATGATCCAATATCCATCTATTCTATTATAGGCATGTGTTCGCAAGTTAACTAGAAATATGAATTCATAGCTATAGTAAGTAACATTGTCGAGAAAGAAAGTTTATACACTAAATTATCTTAGTTTACTGGAGTTTTTCCTAACGGTCACCGTCATCATATCCAGCGAACGTTTGAGCTGCTTATGTCATGGGAATTTTTAAGAATTCGAATGTCATCTGATTGTGCAAAATGAAAAAAAACACGGTTTTTTCATTGGGGGTTTGCGTAAAGACAATGTTACTTGCCACTTATATCAACCTTTGCACACATCTATTAATCGTCCACATTGACAATCTAAATGTAACGAATTATAGAAATATTGGTAATATCATTTGGTGTCGTACATCTATCGATTTATTTTGAAGCCTATTACAAGACCAACATTATTAGTTCATAATGAGTATTCCTAAATAATTACATCCCGACTGTTCCTGCAGCCTTGACCTGATGCTTGTGACTATCTGTCACTATTGCTTAGTCGTGCTGCACTGACTGAAGCACTCGTTTTTCTAGGTCTTACCATGGCAGTTAGACTGATTGCTGAGCGATACAACTAAAAGTTGCAAACCTGACTTCCGAGAGCAAAGTTGTACTCCTAACTGTACAGTAGTATAACGGGTGTAAAGTGTCCTGCTTGTGCAACTTGCATTCGCACAGATAATGTCTCTTTATAACCGAAGGTTGGTCCTCAAAATAGCACATCTCATCTTGCCTTGTGGATTTTCGTTGCCAGTAGTATGTTCTTTAAAGTGTAGAACTAACATGCCAAGTACTCATGTAAAGGCCATGTATGACTGATTCCAAGCAGTTTTTCCTTTAGTTCTAATGTTACACTCCCAGATGGTCAGAGCGACACCTGTATCAGTTCCTCTTTTAGGTCCCTCACGGATAAATGGGCAACATAGTGGCAATCCTTCTCATACTTGTATCTTCTGTATCTTTTTAAATACAATAACTTTCAAGTCACAAATTACTCAGCCTAAAAGACTAAAACCTAACATCAGACTCTACATTTCGTACTTAGTGATAACTGTCTTCCAAACATTATTAGTGCAATCGACAGATAATTCCCATTTAAACATTAAAATTAAAACACGAACTGTGTTCACATTTCCTCACGGAATTAGTACTTTTATAAAAACTTTCATATATATGCGATTGTACAGCTTGATAATAAATTCGTTGAAAAGAGATCCCTTAGCTGAAAATCGTGTTTTAATTTTAATACAGTGGAATCACCAAGTAAGCAAATTTGAACATGTTTTTGAAGAAATATAAGTATTTTTATAACAGTATTACTAACCTGGAGCAAATGACTCAATTTAGTCGTTATGTGATTCATTTCCCAACTCACATTTTGCTCTGACGTGTTATGTTGATTTAAATGAAATTTGTTTGAAAAACGTTTATTAGTGTTTAGAGTAAGAAATCACAACTGTCTGTTAAATTTCTGGACATTGTTCAGAACTGTATAAGCTTACTATAAGCTTCATACATTTAAACCTTTGAAATAATAAAGATTTGTAGATGTTTGCATGAAATAGGTTATTAATTAATAATGATATTTTGAATTCGTTCTTTCTTAAACATTTCTCTGAACCGAAACGTAACTTAGGCCCGTTAAGTCACTGACTGTTGGTCTGAACCTTGTCGATAGATACAAACTAATAGGTTGGGTTCCATGTGATATTCGTAATCATTGGTTAAAGATGTTGATTGACATAGCTCAGAATCAGTCACAGTAGCTCACTCATCTTTCTTCAAATCTTGAGTTTCAGTATTTCTTTGTTCATAGCTTTTCATTATGTCTTTCCAAGTTATACTTTCAATGCTTAATTATTCTAATTATTTGGATCCTTTCGCAATTAATCTTGTTGACTTTATCTCATCGTTCTATCACGTTGTATGATAACTTGTATCAACGCGCATTTGTGACAGGCTCTAAATCAGTTATGATAAAACTAACTAACCTTGCTCTTTAGTAAAGTTTTCATTATCTTAACACTATAGTCTGTAACTAGAAGGGCTGTGATGAAGTCATTTTCTCCGTTTCTCTGTTTTTTCCCATTCGTCATCAGGGGGATGTGGAACCAACTATTATTACTGCTTCTTCGACTACTAATACTATCGATATCGATACACAAGGTGATGTATTAAACACTAACAAACAAACAAGCGAGGATGATGACGATGATGAACCAATTGATCCAATTAGACCGGATTTTAAAGCTGCTGAAAAATTACATCAAGGTACAGGTCATGTACCACCAATAATTGATTTCTTAAATGAATTTCTTCCACCACGTTGGGTTAATTGGATTGTACGATTATTTACAGGCCTACTATTAGTTTCAGGATTTACACTTCTTATTTACTTGGGTCCATTGGCATTAGTACTTATGGTAAGTGTTGTATATAATTATTTATTTATTTATTTTCCTGTTACCACTAAACGATTGATCAGAGTTTGTCAACGTAGCTCTAGCAACTAATTACTTATCGTTGATTTTGTCTTAATTAAGTCCATAAGGAAACCATCATTGTAACAAACGATGAATTCCAAAGAATATATGTATAACCCAAGTACATAAGTATGAGTGTTAATGGTGCTATGTGGTTACCAGAAGTCAAGTAGACAGAGTGGAGTTTGAATCCGAAACATAGTGACTGAAATTTGAACGCCTTAACCACTAAACCAACATCAAATTATTGAAATAAAGCTGGAGATAGCTAAACAAAAATGTTGTAATAGTCCATGAATTCACTGGCTAATAAACTGAGCTATGTTAATGGGTGTGTAGACTACCTGGTTAGGGTCTACGTTGATTATCTCAACAGATGATTAGAGACTTTAAATGACATGGCTAAACATCGTTCTCAATAGTTAAAATGCATTTACTCTTTACCTTCCCTTAGAACCTTGGCCGCGAAATCTCTTTGTATATTTTTCTTCTTTCTATACCTAGTCTTTTCTACCAGTGCTGATACTTTTACTGCTCCTACTATTCTGGAATTTGTCGTAAAAATAATTTTATGTCGCTGTGCTAATGTGGTATAGGAACTTGAACCGATGCATATGTCAGTCAGTCAGTCAGTAACAACGTAGAACTTAGTACGTACGTACATCAGTTCGAGTTGCCATACCACATTAGCACAGAGATTCAGTGGTCGATTCAAATCCCGTAGTGGTAGAGGTAGCCAGAGTATAAGCAGTAATCGGGAAGATTAGGGTTTGGAGATGTTATTTAATGAGTATAATCCAGTGAAATAAATTTGGAAAGAGGAAAAAAAAGGGGCATGAAGAATTCAGATAATTAGAATTTGGGAGAACATAGAGAGTGGATACACCTGCGCCATTGCAAACGATTTTGAGCCATGTCATTCAGGGTCTCTAACCATCGGTTGCTATCATCTCGCGGTCCCCAACCAGGTAGTCTACACCTACCAACATGACTCAGTCCACTTGTCAGTGATTTCATGGATTTGTGCCATGTTTTGGTCTGGCCGCCCCTAGCTTTCTTCCAACCTACTCCTATACCACTGAATATAGCACGTCGAGGTAGTCGGTGGTTGGGCATACGTAGCACGTGTCCCAGCCATCTCAACTGATGAAGTTTCACTACTTCATCAATTGATTTGCCATCCTTACCTAGTACCCGTTTCCTAACAGCTGCGTTACTTACTCGGTGGTCCCAGGATATACGAGCAATACTTCGAAGACACCTATGATCAAATACTAGTAACCTACGAATATCCTCTACTCTTACCGGCCATGTTTCACAGCCATAAAGTAGGACGGAACGAACTGCTGCGCAGTAAACACGTCCTTTGGTTGGTAGACGGATATCTCGCCTACGCCATAAATGACGCAAGTTGGCAAAAGCTAGTCGAGCCTTCTGTATCCGTGCTGAGATTTCGTCACACACCAGACCACAAGGGCTGATGAGACTTCCAAGATAAGTGAAGCGGTCGACACACTCAACTACTTCACTCCCTATCACTAGTTCGGGTGTCGATGTAACCCAATCCTGAAGCAACATTTTGCATTTCGAGGGAGAGAATCGCATCCCGAACATGCTTGCATTATTGCTTAGAGTGGTCAGAAGACTCTGCATTTTGTCAGCGTCTTCACCAAATAAAACTATGTCATCGGCATATTCTAAGTCAACAAGTGAACCTCCTGGTAGAAGTTCAACCCCCGGAAATTTAGATGAGGAGAGTGTTATCTCTAAAAGTACGTCGACCACAAAGTTGAACAAGAATGGGGAGAGTGGACAGCCCTGACGAACACCACTTGAGGTAATCAATTCTGATGACAGTTCGCCATAAGCTCTCACTCTACCAGTTGTGTTCGAGTAGAGAGCCTTTATAAGGTTAATGTACCTCTTTGGTACTCCTTTCAGTGACAAACACTGCCATAGAACCTCACGGTCAACAGAGTCGAATGCCGCCTTAAGATCGAGAAATACTACCATTGTGGGGCGTCTGAATGTGTGCCTATGTTCTAGGACCTGACGTAGTGTGAATATCTGATCTATACAACCACGTCCAGGTTGAAAACAAGCCTGATTTTCTCTAGTCTGTTCTTCACGAGCTTTGGTTAGGCGTCGGAGTATTATTGAAGCTAATATTTTAGACACTATATTAGTCAAACTGATTCCTCTGTGATTGTCACAAGAGGACTTTTTTCCTTTCTTATAAACTGGCACAATCAGTGATTGAGACCAGTCAGATGGGATTACGTCCAGTTCCCAAATTCTACCTAAGACCTCGGTTAATCTCATTGCTAATACTGGACCACCATCCTTAAAAATCTCAGGAGTAAACCTGTCAGCGCCTGCTGCTCTCCCTCGTTTCAGATTTCCTATGGCTTTTTCAACTTCATAAAGAGACGGAGGACCTACATTAACTTGCCATTCAGGTTGACTGGAGATCGTGGGAAACCGAAGTGTGGCTGAAGGCCAGTTGAACTGATCCCTAAAGTGTTCTGCCCATCGATCCAATCTCCTGGATTGAGAATGTATAATATGTCCATCTTTCTCTGAGATTGTTTCGCTAACAGTCAGGTTCCTAATTCCGGTTTCCTTAACGAGTCTAAACAATTGTCTGCTATTACCTATTGCCGTTGCCTTTTCCATCTCTCTTGCTTTCGCTACCCACCACTGTTCGCGATCATTGCGTAGACTTCTTGTCAGTTTGCGCTTAAGCTGACTCCGCTCTTCACTATGTTCAGAGCCAGGTGGAATGAGTTTCCGAGCATCTATCAGTGCGATAGATGCTGCTGAGATCCAGTGTTGCTCTCTAACCTTGTGGTTTACCTTACTAACAGATATCACTGCTGTTTCCACAGCTTTTCGGATATCATTCCATGCTGCCTCGGGGTGGGCATCACATACATGGCTGCCTAACTGTTTTCCTAGTTGTTCCTGAAATATACTCTTAGCTTGACTATCATTAAGTAGGCCCCTAAGAGGTTTCTTTGTAGCGTTTTTCCTACGTCCAGTAAGACGCAAGCAAATACGCACTCGTACTAGAGTATGATCTGAATCTAGGCATGTGCTCCAGAATGAGCGACAGTCTTCTATCGAGCCCCTCCATCGGTGGCTGATAGCGATGTGATCTATTTGGGTCCAACGTTGGGACGAATTAGGGGGTCTCCATGTTAAAAGATGTTTTTCCTTATGCTTAAAGTTAGTATTTGCAAGGAACAGGCGGTTATCTGAGCATAGCTGCAACAGACGGTCGCCATTATCTGTTCTTTGAGCCACGATACTATAAGATCCACCCAGGTGTCTTTCCCTATCGCTTAGTTTACCTACTTGAGAATTAAAGTCACCGGCCACTATTACTACATCCGAGCGCTTAGCTTTTCGGAGAAGGTCCGAAAGCTTTCTGTAAAACTCATCTTTTACATCATCTGAGCTGCAGTCAGTGGGAGAATAGGCAGAGACGACGAAGAGGCAACGACGAGTGTTCCTATCTTTCCGGATTCTTACTGTTCCGTTCAGTCGGACAGCGCACAAACGACTGTCTACTGGGATCCACTCTAAGAGAGCTAGTTCTGCCCTAGGACTCAATGCTATACCTACGCCGGCGAGGCTACGGGAAGCAGAATCAGGGCTTCCAGATACACGAAGCGTAAATCGAGTCGGTTCTTTATTTTGGCATGGTGAGGTCAAATGAATGATGCTACTTGGATCCTGTATGCGCGTTTCGGAGACGCAACACACATCGATGGCGCGAGATTCTAAAGTCCTAGCTAAGGAAGCCTGCTGTCCTATTTGGCACAGTGTTCGTACGTTAAAAGCTCCTACGTGTAGTTTAGAGCGTAGTTTCAGGAGACCAGGAATAGCGTTCCACGTACTCGAATCGTTTGCCCTAGCGGTGCGAGGTGATAAAGAGACGTGAGGAGGGTTAGTCATGGAGATAAGAGAGGTATTAGGTGTAGGAAGGATTTGAATGTGACCAACTTGGTCTCGCGTGCTGTTACGGGTATGAGGGCTGATGTAACTTCCCGGCTGCCCACACCGTGGAAGGGTATTTCTTGAGGAACCTGAACAGGAAATTGGATTAGTGTTGGTCTTAACGACCTGGGAGCGTGACCGCAGAGCCCAAGGGACAACTGCTTGAGGCCGGTCGCGCACGGCCTTTTTGTAGAAGGTTTTTGACGTGTTAGCTCCGTTCTTCAGATGGCCTTACCGCCGGAGACGGAAATCCGTGAGGTAAGGTGAGGTGTGACATTTTTAGGGTCGACCTTTTCTAACCCCACCCCTCCTTGTGGGAAGGCAGCATCGCTGTCATGCTGATTGTCCGAAGGAAACACCTTACTGCTGTCACACCTCTGTACAGTCATATGTGTCAGGTTGCGTTTAATTCACTGAATAATCAATTCTCTTTTTTCGTTGACCGATTTTAAATGCATATACTTGGCTTTGTGTAACATTGTTTGTTTGTGTAAGAACTTACTTACGCCTGTTACTCACAATGGAGCATAGGCCACTGACCAGCATTCTCCAACCTACTCTGTCCTGGGCCTTCCTTTCCAGTTCTATCCAATTTTTGTTCATTTTTCTCATGTCTGTCTCCATCTTTCGACGTGATGTGTTCTTTGGTCTTCCTCTTTTCCTTTGGCCTTGAGGATTCCATGTGAGGGCTTGTCTTGTGATGCATTTCTATGCTCTCCTCAATGTGTGTCCTATCCACTTCCAGTGCTTCATCATGATTTCTTCCTCCGTTGGGATTTTGTTTGTTCTCTCCCATTGTAGGTTGTTGCTGATAGTGTCTAACCAACGGATCCGAAGTGTTTTGCGTAGAGAGCTGTTAATAAACACTTGTATCTTGTTGATGATATCTTTCGTAGTTCTCCAGGTTTCCGCTTTATACAGTAGAACTGTGTTGACAT